CATCTGTCACAAACTGTGCATTTATATCTACCGTGTATGTATTTGACCACGTTGACACTGAGGCCGTGCCGGGAGATGGTGGTGAGCACCTCCCCGGCGCTCCTCCTCCAGGGCAGGTTATGGGGGGGACACCAGGAGGTGATGGCACTGAACAGCAGCTGGAGATCGTCCTTTTGGGCCAGTTCCTCCGCTGGAGACACAAAGGTGCAGAGCTTCACCAGAATCTGCAAGAGTAGGAAGGGCAGGAAAATGAGTCTAGCCAAAGGTGTTAGGTGCTGATAAAACTACTGCAAAGTCGAGCCCAAGTCCTTCATCATGTGCCTTTTGTAACTGGCATCATAATATAGGAAACAATAGGGACTGTGGTCATTCTAGTAGTTGAAGTAAATGAAGAAAAACAGGCAGAATTTCCGACTATGATTAAAGAGAGGCTCGTTCAGTTCTTTTACATCAGTGCACATAAGGATTTAAAGCAATGAACTAAACTGTTAACCATCTTACTAGGTACCGATATGGAGACAAATACTGGTCCAGTTACCTGGACAAAGACTTTCTGCAGTAGTGCCCTGCGGTCGGCGAGGGGCAGCTCCGGCTGGGTGTGACCTTGGCCTGGGGTCTTCTCCTGGGTGGGTGGTGGTGGCGGCGGCTGTGTGGCGGGGCCTGCTGGGGCCTCAGCCATGTGTGGCAAGTCGAAGAACAGGTAGAGGCATTTGACAAGTGTGGAGGGAACAGACATGGTCGTCATGCAGTCCACCGTTTTCTGATGAGGGATAGAGAAAAGAGGAAGGTGTGCATAATGGACTGTGAACTATAAAACAGGATATCTATTTCATATAACTCTGGTGCGAGAACTGTGTTGAGACAAGATTTTTTAAACCACTTGCTGAACAGGACAATTATTCTGTGTGTGTCTGTCATGATGGCCAGGAAACGGCCTGGAGAAAGAGATGGGGTTTGTGCTCCTCAAGGCAAATGGGTCTCACACACACACACACACACACACACACACACACACACACACCCCGACAGTGACACTCTAAAACAAAGCCCACACTGACAAATTACCACACTCTTCCTTTCACTGACACACACACACACGAGCACTCACATGAAACAATAACCACACACTCACACTACGACTGGTTGAGTTTACCCTCCATTTACTCCAGCACTGTCTACACCACAGGGAGGAGGTGGACGCATAAGGAATAACACATACACACTCATATTTAATCCCTGAGCTGATCAATGGCAAGAGTGAGTGGGGCAGGGAGAACAGAGGAGAGCAAGACACTGGCAGTGCAAGTAGGCAGGAGTCTGTAGTTGACAGTGAGTCGGGATGATGGAAGACTGGACTTGCACTTGTGGTACACCAAGCCTGTAAGGTAGAAAGGGTGTGTGTTTACAGGCTGTGACAGACACACTGGGCCTGCTGCAGCTTTAAGGTCAAGATTACTGCGAGCAGTCAATTAGGGAGGAAACCATAGAGGCAAAAACATTTTACTGGTGTGTGTGTGTGAGACAGAAAGAGAGAGGAAGAAAGAAAAAAGAGAAGATGTCAAAAAATGCATCTGTGTGTCAGAGAAACAAGCACACAGAGCCTGAAAGTCATCCTACAATAACACAGCAGTGTGTAGGTAGACAGGCAGAGCTACAAAGGAAAACATTGCTGTTTTATCATCTGAGGGAGGGAGAGCACAAGCTGAGAGAGAAAGAGAACGAGAGCTTTAAAGAGAGGGAGGTGACGTCAGGTTTATGGGAGGCCAGCTGCCAGGAGAGTCCTTTGTTTTAATGTCTGAGACACAAGAGGGAAGGAACACAAATCCATTAAAGCCAATCACTCACTCACTCACACAGATCATTCCTTTTCCTGTCACTTTGTGTGTACTGCTATCAAACAATTATACAGCAGTACAATGAAACTGTTGCCTGGCTATTAGAATGACATGATGCAGGTTGTAAGGCTTCTAGTAACAGATCAATTCTGGTAAGTTTTGGTTGGCGGTGGATACGTTTATTTATCCAATTAGACATTTGTTCAGGACAACATTAGCCTGACAGGACTGTTGAACCACATTAAAATTACAAGAATACACTGGGAAAGGGCTGACAGGATATAAAGCTCAACCAGCCTCTAAAAGAAAATAAACTTAATTTCAGCGATGTGTGAGTGGATTAAATCCCAGAGTGTTGGCTGTGGGGAGCAGGCAGGTCACTGTAGAAAAGTGTCAATTTAAGCAAAAATAAGCTTGAAAAATAAACTTCAGTTTTATTCCCTGACAGTAAAGGCTTTTTTGAACTTTCCTCTTAAAAGTGAAATAAAAGGGCGTGTAGTGTGACTGTTGCATGTGTTGTAATAACAGCTCATTTAAAAAAAAAGAAAAAAAAGAAACACGCTTGCAGAAGGAAAGAGGAAGTGTTTGACTAGACATTAACAATGAATTTCTGATGTGCAGCAGACCAGGAAAAGCAGCCAGCTGACAGAGATGCTCGCTCTAAGATCTCCAGATAAACACGAGCCAAAAAGTTCAATAGATACCTGCTGGCTGCAGTATTAGAGCAAAGGCAAGAGCTTAACGTCTGACCTTTACACCAGGAGCCATGATGAGATCTGCTAGAAAGTTCTAAAGAATTTATGGTAAAATACATTCATTTGGTAAATAGACTGCACTTGGACCTGGACAAAGCGCTTTACAGATCCACCCATTCAAACACACACACACACAATACCAATGGCGGCGGAGCTGCCATGCAAAGCACTGGCCTGATGACCGGGAGCAACTTCAACAGATTTATTTTTTTGCTGTAATATTAAATATTAAATTTGGCATTGAGAATTGTGGAACTACTAACTAGACATCTGGGGGATAATGACATTACTAATGTGGATTAGTGTCGCACTGTGACGAGCTGCTTCACACACAGAGGTAGAAACATCAGAGGCAGCATCAGTCCCTTCATTCTGTACAGTAAGGCAGGTGTATGAGTGTGAGTGTGTTTGGTGTCAGCTGGAAATTTTGAGCCTGTTTATTAGTTCTTACAGGGAATAATGCTTTTTTCTGCTGGGAAATCAAAGGGGGAAGATGCAAATGGGTCAAAGAAATACAGGATGCTGGATAATCACTGTTTTCCAACTTGTATACCCACAGTTCATCTACACCTCATGTCTGAGCCATACAAGAAAATCAGGTAAAGAAACAGGCAAATGTAACAATAAACACACAGAAAAGCATACTGATTGTATAAACACAGAGCACTTACAGTACACAGAAATAAAACCTGCTGTTGAAACTGAATGTAGTGTTTTTCTACCAACCTGTCCAGAAGAGGCCAACAAGTTGATGGTGGTCAGAAGCATCCAGCCACGACTCGCCTCCTCC